ACACCTCAAGTTTTCGAATCGATGCTTCCGCTTTTGCATTCTGTAAATTCTCCCAAGCAGTAATTCTCGCTTCCTCTTTCTGCAGCCTAAAAATAAAAATTCTGTCATTAGTGTGTGTGTGTGTGAGAGAGAGAGAAAAAGATAGAGAGAGAGAGAGAGAGAGATACTTTGACAATTTCATTGCTCCTTCTGTGGTATTCCATGTCAAAGATAAGTCGTTATTACTCTCTTTTACCCTATTATTCTTCTTCTTCACTTTCATCTTGTGTTTTTTTGATCTTTTAGTCATAGTGGCTCCTTTATCCACCTGAACATCTCTGACTTCCGATCTTGAAGAGTGGTGGCTGCCGCCCTCCACAGGCGGCGGTATATAGGTTTCCGGGCTGCTCACAGGGCTCATTTGTGTCGCCATATCTCTCCGTGAAACAACACGCGAAACACCATTTTCATCTGTGTGTTTCAAGAAACGAATTGAACACATCAAATAATTCGATAAAAAGTCAAAAGATTGACGAAATTGTAGTTATTGTACCTTGGGAATCAGGATATGGAGATCCAATTAACAATTCGGACCATCCGGGAATGTTAGGAGATTGAACAACTCCATGATGAAAAGGTAATCCATGATCAGGGGCTAAAACCCCTGTTGTGAGAAAATTCTTGGAGCTTCCATTTTCGGGTAATAAAGCAGGTGAATAGTTTGAAAAGTAATTATGAACTCCACCAGGTGTTGTTGATGTTGTCGTTGTTCCACCTAACCCTAATGGGCCACTTTTGGCTTTGGGTCGTCGAGGTGGTGGAGCTGTAGTAGTAGTCGTCGTCGTCGTCTTACAAACCCCAAAACCAGATACTGGACTTGTAATCCATCTTTCAGCATCATCCCATTTTGATGGAAGTGTTCTTCCGCTATTGAATGGCATCAATGCTGCAGCACTAATATGTCTCCGGCTACTGTTACTTGGTAACGCTACTCTCTCTGAATACCAACCCTTTTGAAAGCTTCCGACATTGTTATCCCCGTAATCTGGAGTCCCTGGGCTTGTGTAAGCACCGGAATGACGGAAGGAAGATGGATTCTTCGTTGTAGATCCTAATTGTGGTGAATAGCAGACCTGCATTGCATCCTCTGGTTCTTTCTACCTTCTACGAACTAGGGTTCTTCAATTTCTTCGGAAAAACCTGGAATTTTGAACTTGAGTTAGGATTAGATGATTGTACTCGATTGTTTAGATGTACATCGCGCATTTACAGAGAACAGTAAGCAACTAGGAAGAAAGATACAATAGTCGAAAGGTATTGTATTGTGTATATTTGTATTTGCCTCTGTGGTCACCGATTTTTGTGGACCACTGTAACGCTCGTGAAGCTACAGATACTTCCAAGTGGAATTTCATATCATGAAAACGAAAACACAATAAAAAGAACGTTCTTTTACAGCGAGAAAAGGGGGAAACATTCAAAAAAAAATAAAAAATACGAGGACATCATTCATCAATCGTCAGATGTTTACTTTACTTCAGTCAAACATGGTGGTTGTGATTGCACCTACTTCAGACTGAAGCAAATTCAATAGAGATGAAGAGTATTACCTGAAACAAAAGTCCTTGTTGTTAGTTTGATTGTTGGTGTGCAAGAAGATAAGATGTAGACAGGATTAGAAGAAGAATGGCGGATTTGGGGCACTGATATTATTGGTTTGGAGAAAAAGGAAGAAGCAGGGAAAGTGTTCGATGAAATGCCGAAAGGAAATGGGCGTGGAATAGATCGAAAAGTCGCAGACAGGATCCATGTGACAATGCCCCTGAAGTACGGAAGGGGTCTGCCATACATTAATATTTGCAACACATTGGTTTATACGTCCATATTATTATAATAAATATAATATCTTATTATTATTATTATTATTATTATTATGCTGCCATGTTTTCAATTGTAAATTAATTGTTTATGGTTCGTTGTTGACCGATATACGAGAAGTTAAGATAATGAAACTATAATTCTATTCGAATGATTTACAATGAGCACCTTTGAAAACTACGTCGTCTTTGTTCTTACCCTTGTGATCATCGATGTCCAACAAGAAAACTTAACAAAAGATTAATTTATTTCAAGCTATTAAATTATCTAAAATTATAGAAGAATGATATTTTAAAACTTATAACACCGACCAAAGATATCACGTATCTAATGAGTAATATAAATATCAAATTAGCTAGACATTATTTCATTTGCATTTCTTTAAATATATATAGTTATCCAACTTAATTATATATAAAAGTTAATTACGCAAAGTGGCAAAACATGCATGCGTGTATCTAACAGGGGTCTCCCTTCTTGTGGGCTTGGGGAATCGAGTTTTCACAGTGGGGCAAGCTGCTTTAAAAGTTGCATCAAGCAAAGTGACAAAACATGAGAAAACGTGCATAGAAAATCAACACACGTTTATACCCTTTGCATTTGATACTTTCGGTTTCCTTGCGCCAGAAGCTGTGGAGCTACTCAATAGATTCCAACGGGTCATGCATTGTAATGTTATGACTCCAAGATCTATAGATGTTGTTTTTAAAAGAATTAGTTTTGCCATCCAAAAAAAAGTTGCAGCACAGCTTGTTGCTCGTTTATCCGCTACGTCTATGTAATTTTCAAATAAAAAAACATAAGAAGAATATAGATTTTATAGTTCACAAGATTCCGAAAAAAAAAAAAACATAAAACCATAACTAATCAAGAAATCAACAAATCAATCATACACAGTCGGAATGTAAAACAGTGGATGACTAAGAGATATGTTGTATATTTGTATAGTGGGCATGAATACACAGTATTATACCAAAAAGCTCACTTTACTTTTTAGTTTTTTATAATTGTTTTTTAACTATATCAAATTTCATAATTTTTCATCTATCTTTAAATAAAAATCTATCTTAATATACAAAAAAAACAAATTTTTTTTTTCTTGTTTTGTGGTTACTTTCTACAATTGTTTTGTTTAGATTAAGAGTTTCAATTTCAACCGTATCAAATTTTTATAAAAGATAATTCACATATAAATAATTATTATACTTGTTTTTTTAACGGTTATCGATAATTCATTAATTACTCATTACATTTCATTTTTTTATGGTAAAGATTCTATACGGTTGATCACCATATACAAAAAGCGTTAAAATCTATTGATTTTTGGTCACCACACACATCAAATTACATGTGAATTTGAACAAAAATCACATTCATATGAGAATCTACGTAAATTATTTGATTTTTTACTATTTCAACTTGACTATCATACACAAATAAATTTATTACTAATCATAAGGTGAATTTACTCAAAGTTACATGTAAATGATCAAGTTTTGGTTGAAATATAAGTACAATAAGCATTTAAATGTGTTTTTTATATAAAGAAAATTCAATGTAATTAAGATTCACATGGTATACCCGAATTGATTTTAAAAAAAATCATTTTTATTTATTTGTATAAATATCTATTTGGAAGTACCAAACAGTATGATTTTTTGATATATTTATTGTTTGTTTTTTATAAAAAATAAACCTTATTTATTAAAAAAAACATAAAAAAGTAGATTTTTTTTAAATAAAAAAGTTCTTTTTTGTGTCAGTATCGATCTCAAATGAAAAGATGACGAAAACTTATGAATTTTGGTATATTTAATTTTTTTTCGATAAAAAAACCCTACAAAAACAAAACAAACATTTTACATGATCCAATACATCGTCCAAATAAGAAATACACAACATTGATTCTTTACTACTTGTGGAGTTATAGTTTTCTATTTAACATAGCCCTGAATTTGTAAAAATCATCCTATAATCAATTAAAAATCTCTCTAATTCCTCTATACACGATCATATTTGTTAGAATAGATTTAGGTGATTCTAGATTTTATGGGGTTACTTTCATATTTAACAAAATTACAAAAATGGTTTTCATGGTTGGTAAATTTATGTGTTTTTTGTCTGAAACGAAATATTGGTGCACCACTAGTCGAAAATTGGATCTTTTTAGTGATTTTAGTCCCTTTACACTTGAAATTAAATTTATACCCTTTTAATTTATATTTTCCATTTTCTTTAATTTCTGAGATGCTTTAATTAAATTAATTTCACTTATATCCAATTAAAACAAAAAAATAAAAATAAAAACCCAATCCATCCTCTCATCTTTGTCACAATACTGAGGATGAGAGAATCCCAGGCATCACCACCTCCCTCCATCATCGATGTCTATAACCATCGCCATCGGCTTCGATTCTCACCGGAGTTACCTAATTCACGACCACCACCCTCTCATTTCTCTCCGCCTGACACGACTCAGCTTCACTTTTTTCTATCTTTTTCAAAACACACACTAACATACAATCTCAAGAACACATGCTTACCCTCTCAAGAACACCCACATTAGAAACCACCGACAACAACCTCGAAACCAACACCACTAGCTCCCCTCCCATATCTAAACCCACTGATGCAGGGGTGCTTAAACCCACAAATTAAAACGAAACATCATGCTTAGAACCCAAAAATTAACCTCACAAATCATTAATGAAATCAAATCAAACCCCCAGCTCCATCTCCAACGATAAGCAATCGATTCAAGAATTAATCTTCAATGTTCTCTTCCTTAATTTATGTAACAGACAAGCCACAAGAACATTATCCATTTTCCTTCCTACAACTCCAATGATTTCAATAAAATCATCCGTCACCACCGCATCCTCCGCCACCACAAGCTACTTCCTGCAAAATTTATGAACCCCCTCGCTCTCTTTCCTCTCACTCCACTACCTACTTTTGATTTTGGCTCCAGAAACCAAATCGAAAACGATTTTCAAATTCGATTTTAGTGGAAATTTCGTGTGGGCTTCAATTTTCAGATTTAAGTTCACCAGGAAGCACCGTTGTGGTGAATCGACTTAGCCATCAACAACTGCATCGATCTGGGTGGAGGTCGATGCAGGTGGAGAAGGAAATGGGGGAAGATGGAGGTTTGGGATGACAACCTTCTTGAAGGAATAGGAGATGAAGATGCAGACACTAGAAAAATCTCCATCGGAAAAGCTTGCTCCGACAAAGTTGACGCCGGTGAAGCCAAGGTTCAAGAAGAAGATTTGGTGGTGGCGATGTGGGTTTGAATTTGTTTTTGGTGCTGATGGTTCCAACTGGAAAGATAACATTAGAGAGAGAGAGAGTTTATTTTGTTTTTGTTTTTCATTTTATTATAAGAATAAGAAAATAAATAAAAGAAATTAATATATAATTATTTAAGGGGCATATTAGTCATTTTAGGTGGGATGTGGACCAAAAACACAAGAAAATACAACTATAAGGATCAAAACCACAGAATATATCTAAAATTAGACCAATGGTGCACCAATATTTCGTTTTGAACCAAAACTACAGAATTTTACCAACCACAATGACAATTTTTGCAACTTTGCCTTCATATTTTTCTATAATTAGGGTTTATTTATGTAGTAAATATGTTTTAGCTAACCGTTTAACATTGTATTTAATTCTTTTGTAATATACAGTTTTCTTAAAATCAATTACAAACTGAGAACTTCACCCTTGATTCATCGATTTTTCAATCTTCCTTCTTGATCAATTATGAGCCACAAATAGGTCCTCCATGAGTCCTAACATGATATCAAATCAAAACATGAGAATAAATAACAATCCGCTAAGCTATACCTACTCAAACAATCACATTCATCTCTGATTTTTCTTATTTATTGCTATAAAATACCGACTCACTATGTAACATCCCAAAAATACAGGCCAAAAATTTCATTTTTAAATACGTCATCATAAAACCAACAGTGTAATAAAACATCCGTAATATCATGTCATGTCAAAACCAAAGTAGAAATAATCAAACGTGTTATCATAAAATAATATCAGAGTGTAATCCCAAAGATCTCATGTGCGGAAAACCATAGTGTGATGCGCTGCGATCAAGCCGGCTCCTTTCCATTAGACAAGAAGTACCTGAAACCAAAACTGAAAACCGTAAGCACGAAGCTTAGTGAGTTCCCCCATCATACCATATACCATACAACACATAACATACATACTGCCAGGCTATTCTGGGGTGCCTGACTACCCGGTACGGCCATTCTGGGGTGCCGACCTACCCGTGTCAAGCCATTCTGGGGTGCTGACCTACCCATGTCAAGCCATTCTGGGGTGCTGACCTACCCATGTCAAGCCATTCTGGGGTGCTGACCTACCTGTCGGTCCTAACAACCGAACTTGGGGACTGGTCCCCTCCTACTACCTCTATCGCATATAACATAACAAGCCAGCATGCAAACATATCATAACATACTGACAAACGTATCTGGGGTGTCTGACTACCCTTTGGTCCTAACAACCGAACTCTACTACTATCACATATAACATATCATGCTAGCATATAACATATCAGGTAGTAGCAAACCTAGATGATATCACAAAGACAATCATCTATCATACGTCTCCTACTGGTGGGTCGGCATTGTGGCCTTAGACCCACTGCTACTGGAAGGTAACTCACCTCAAACTGCTGAAGTCCGCAGACACAACCCCACACTGCTGAAGTCCCGCAGACTCAACCCCAGCTGCTGGATGACAGATTCCCGAACTGTCAACACCAAAATAATACCCAATTAATGATTGGGTCCCAACACATAACCATAAATAAATACTTGGATAATCACTACATTACCCTAAGATTGGCTTTATTCAAACCCAAAGCCCAAACCATAGGCCCAAAGCAAACTAGGAATCAAAGCCCAACGCATGGCCCAATTTTCCAAATTGGGCCTAGGCCTATACATGATCTCATTCTAAGGCCCAACCAAAAGTCCAGTCTAACCTTTAACAATCTAATGGTCCAATATCATATAATCATTAAGGCCCAAGCTATAGCCCATTTATGGCCTAATTAGGCCCAACCCCTTACATGGGACTTACCCTAGGCCCATTAAATTATTTTAGTCCATATAATTATTCTTGGATGGCCCATTAATAATCCAATCATCAAGGCCCAATAGAAAGGCCCAACAATAAACCCAAACGAAGTTAGGGTTTCACATAAAATGCCGATTAGGGTTAAGTTTCCTACTTAACCCATTAAGGAATTAATCCATTAAGGACTTAATCCATTAAGTCCATTATCGCTTAGATTAATCTTTGCCAGAGTTTATTATTTAATATCTCAAGTTATTAAATAATTATTGTGTGTCCCGATTAATTCTAAAAATTAGGGTTTAATTGGCATTAGTGTTTTCCAACCCAAAGACTAACCAATTTATTAACTTGTTGGGCTTCTAGATCAATTAGGGCTTTATTACACCCATTAGTCACATGTTTGGGCTTTTGGGTCCATTAAGCATTATTGGGCCCATTAGGGTTTATTAAGTCCATTAAGCCTCATTGGGCCCATTAGGGTTTCTTGGTCCCTTATCCAATCATCCAAACGAGTCCAAACACCATCAAAGCACACCGCCACCCGACACGGCGGCCGGTGGCGGCAGCCACCACCCTACGGTGGTGGTTTGGGTTCCATTTCATTATTTTGATTTTTACAATTACAATGAACTCACGAAATAACAGACACACACTATACTAAAAATAACACACACCCACAACCACCTTTGTGGTGGTCGGTGGTGGTACAAGGTGGCAGTGGCTTTCTAGGTTTTCCCAGCCACACAAAATACACACACACGCACTCCAAAATATAGACTACACTCCAGCCAACCACCTGGTGGTTCACGACGGCAGTGAGAGCTATTTCACAATGGCAGCGACATCGGAAAGTGGAAGGAATGGCGGCCGGTGACAAGATTAGCGATGACAGCCACATGGCGGCGACGGGTGGAGCTCGAAGGCATCATAGAAGCAGCTAACGGCGACAGTGGACCCGAGACGACGTAACAGTAACTCGCGGCGGCACCTTCACGATTTGATTACGCCTCCGGCGACCACGTCATGAAGGCACTCATCTTCGTCCGTCACCGTCGAAGGGCAGCAGCAGCAGCGCACGCCATGGCGGTCGTTACGGCTTCCACTGGCGGTTGGGAAAACTCGACCACAACGACGGCTCGAAATCTCGCTTCCACCGGACATGAAGGCAGCGGCAAGAGGATAGAGGATAGCAACCTTCGTCTTCGTCGGGAACTAGGTGACAACAGAGGTTGGCCGGTGTTCGCTTAGTGGCCTCAAGCTGGTCGGAAACACGAACTAGATGGGTGGTGGTAGCAGCCGACGACTAGGAGGTATAAGGGGGAAGGGGGTGACGGCTGTTACATAGTTGCTAGGGTTAAATCCATGAGTGACGGGTTTATATACCCGATCCCCCAAACTTGTTTCCATAATGGCAATTTCAGCCCCTCAACCTCATTTCCTTTTAAATTAAATTCAACCAATTACTACGGAGTCCCTGACTTTATAAATAATTATAAAATGAGTCCCAAACTCACGCTCTTAACCCCCGACTTCTAAAAATGTGGCAACTAACTCCTCGAACCCAACGCTCTGCATATATAATTATTTATTTCAGGCTACTATTCGTTCATTAATTTATTTATTTAACTAATAAATAAACAGGGTTTTACAACTCTCCCCCACTTAAATTAGATTTCGTCCTCGAAATCATTCCTTACCAATCTTTACATAGCAAGCCACTATAGTAACGTAGTCTTCTTCCCGAGCAAACCCTAGCCTTCCGAAGGTAGCTGTGACCAATCTTCGCAAAGCCCTAATATCCTCATATGAACGAACTCCTCGCAACGGGATCACAACCACTTCGGCTGAATCTACTATCTTGAGATGGTCTGATTACCTGACAGACCACTCATACTGAGTCATTATCGATGAATCTAGCATGTTTATCCCTCAACTGACTACTTGAGCAACTAATAGCTTTTAGGTCCCTCACTATAAAACAGGTGCACAGACCCAATTATCCCTATAAATCACTTACACTTAGCCAAGGCTCAGCTAATCTCGTTGTGAGTAACTTGTCACTCCCCAAATCATCTAGCTATCCATGTGTACTTGCAACCTAAAACACGAATACGAACACTGCCCAAACACAGAAATTGCTCAAACACTAAAGTGCCTGAGGCAGTATGTGGCTACATAGCTGCTTACCAAAAGCTACCAAGACCTCCTGGGTCTTAATTCGCTTGCCCAATCCTCTGAAATATTGGGTTTCCACCCGGCCGCGGAGCCAAAGGACTCCCGCTTAGTCACCTCACACGACTTCTGAACGAAATCCTCCTCTAGAACTAGTTGCAACTAGTTATCATGAAACTGAGGCTCTAACAACTTTCTGATCTAACCGATCGAGTCCATGCGTCGAATCCTGTCATCATCAAACCCAAGGCTGAAAGTGATTGCTACTTGATCAATGGTAGCCTTATCTCACATGACTTCTTATACAGTCCATTTCTTTCCCGATCCCATAACTGTAGTGGCGCTCCTACAATCCTATCACTGGCTAAACCAGATCCAATCCATCTGGGTAATTCCGAAATCCAATCCGTGGATTTCCTTATCCTTACCGCTACACCCGAACTGGTGGGTACGACTCTTCCTTCTACATCCTAACAACGCGCTCACACTATCTACTAACCTAGTGAATGCTGGGGCTATACCCGTAGTCTTACAACACTTTCCATACTATCTGACTACTAGTGAATGTTACGGCTACCCCCGTAGTCTTACAACACTTTCCACACCAGGTCGGACATGCACTCGACCTAACACATCACTTAACTAGAGTCCTAACCAGAACTCTGACATGGTTCCCGAAACCTGCTATCATGTGACCCCACTGTATCAGTACCGTACCCATGCCCGTGATCAGAGCGTCACCATAAACCACAAAATCATCTACACCCTCTAGCAGGGTGAGAATCAGTGCCTCGCACAACTTCTGTCTGACAGTATTGAAGGTTGCCTGCTATTCAGGCCGTCAACGAAAGGCCACCGACTTCTTGGTCAGTCGGGTCAAAGGAACCGAAATCTCGGAGAAGTACCATGTAAATTTTCGGTAGTAACCTGCTAGACCCAGGGAATTCCGAATCTCAGATGGAGACCTTGGAATCTCCCACCGCATCACAGCCTCTATCTTGGCCGAAACAACTAGAACACCCTTCTGGTTGACAAGGTGGCCAAGAGATTGCACCTTGCGGAACCAGAACTCACATTTGGAGAACTTTATAAAAGTCTCTCCCCCACTTAGATTCGACTAAGTCTTCACATTACTTGAGAATTGAAGGATTCCCAATCCTTCTCGCTTTCGAAAATCCCACTGATGACAACTTGTGCCTGCCAATGCTAGCGTTTAATCGCCGATTAAATCTTGAGATCTCCCATCCTTGGAAATCTCGATGAGTACTCTTGACATCTGATCCAATCTGATGCCTCGAACCATCTATCATGTTGCCAAATGAAGGTCTCAATCTTCACTCTGGCGGATGAATCCTCGTTCTCATTTCCAATCTTGCAGTACCACTGAACTCTAACCGAACACGGCCATTGTGAAACACAATTCTCTTGAACATCCAATGGCCAACCACTTATGCATCTAACACCAACGACTGACACTACCCTCTTCCTGTCACCAGTTCTATCTTAGCAACGGTAGTGCCTTGAACTCTAAAGTTCATCCGTAGACAATTACCGACCATACATGAACAATGATAGAACCTCTGAACGCTGACTTCACTGGAGAACTATCACTCTAACCCTGACCAAGGATCTTCCAAACAATACTCCTGTATAGATCTCGACAAAGATCTGAAATGATAACGGTACGCGTGGAACCCAATCCGCAAGATACGTCCCTCTGTAGGTTCATCAAGGACCTTTCGGCATGCAAAATGGCATATACGGTCCTTGATAACCAAACACTAGCAGAAAACGACTCGAGATCCGACTTATCCAGACTCGCTCACAATTCCAAAGCGATACGTATTCCCAACATGAATCGGGTAGCAGTAAAAGATGACACACTCGCAACATCTGGAGGAACCCTAGTCACCTCCAGCTGACATGATCAACCCTGCCACACCTGTAGCAGCCTAAACCCTTGGAGTGACAAACTCCCTCGTGTACTCTCTCGTATGCATTGCACTGACTCTGGGCCTGCTGGCCCTCCACCCGATGATCAGAAGTCATGGGTCTCTTCCCGAGATCCTCTACTATACCCGCCTAGCACAACCCTTTCTTTCTAGGGTGCTCCAAATCGATCTCGCATCTACAACCTCTTGGAAATCATATCCTTTTGGGTCTGACACCCTGTCACGCTCACTATCTCGCTTGCCAATGGCTAAGCTGCAATAACTGGAACATCCCCTGTCCACAAATTGGGTCACAAACTCTTCCCTGAAGCTTCTTAGATTCTCCAGGACTCTCACTGATTCGAGTATGGATCCCGTGCTTTCAGTAGTACGGGCCCAATACTACCTTCCACACCCATCCATACTTTCCTCAACAATTGTCCCGGATCCTCCAAGTCACTTCCTCAACTGATACACCCAAGTCTAACTGAGCCTCACTACTAACTCACTGAAATATATCCTAGGCTTCCCTAGGTTCCCGAACTCACCCAGTCCTCAGCTGCCGAAAGATTCCCAATAATGTCAACTAGCTACCTCATGAATATAGCCACATGCAATAGAGATCAGATAATCCTTCAAGTAACAGACTCATCCCTATAACGGTTAGACTCAAACGAGAGCTGCACAATAGAGTCAAATCTATCACTCTAAGATTATCTAGCCTGTGCCACATGTGACTTAGCATATTCACTTAATAGCTAGCTCACATTAACAAGAGCCTCACAAAGCACAAAGCAAACAACATTCAGACAATGGAAAATCTAACCATCATATTTCAATCAACCCATTTTATCCTGTACATGTAATTTAAAGGCTCATACAATCAGGAATAACCTTAACAGGCTATCCTATCACTGACTGATCAGTACTAGCATGCAAGTCTACAAGCACATACAATAGGCATATAAGGCATCCTCCTAGATCCTTAACCCTAATCTAGCATGCAGTTCTCATAATCATATCATATCATATCATTTATGGGTATCTTGGGGAAAACTTACTTGAGCTCAGCTGATTGCACGCATCACACACTTTGTTCTTCTCAAAGTTCTCTTCTCTTTAAAGATTCTTTTCAAACTCCTTTTTATAAAATAGTTTTACTTTTGAAAATTTTCATACCAAACCCTTAGTTTGAGTTCAGACACACCCGAGAGTATGTCCGAATCCCTCAAACCAAGTCTCTGATACCAACTTGTAACATCCCAAAAATACAGGCCAAAAATTTCATTTTTAAATATGTCATCATAAAACCTACAGTGTAATAAAACATCCGTAATATCATGTCATGTCAAAACCAAAGTAGAAATAATCAAACGTGTTATCATAAAATAATATCAGAGTGTAATCCCAAAGATCTCATGTGCGGAAAACCATAGTGTGATGCGCTGCGATCAAGCCGGCTCCTTTCCATTAGACAAGAAGTACCTGAAACCAAAACTGAAAACCGTAAGCACGAAGCTTAGTGAGTTCCCCCATCATACCACATACCATACAACACATAACATACATACTGCCAGGCTATTCTGGGGTGCCTGACTACCCGGTACGGCCATTCTGGGGTGCCGACCTACCCGTGTCAAGCCATTCTGGGGTGCTGACCTACCCATGTCAAGCCATTCTGGGGTGCTGACCTACCCATGTCAAGCCATTCTGGGGTGCTGACCTACCTGTCGGTCCTAACAACCGAACTTGGGGACTGGTCCCCTCCTACTACCTCTATCGCATATAACATAACAAGCCAGCATGCAAACATATCATAACATACTGACAAACGTATCTGGGGTGTCTGACTACCCTTTGGTCCTAACAACCGAACTCTACTACTATCACATATAACATATCATGCTAGCATATAACATATCAGGTAGTAGCAAACCTAGATGATATCACAAAGACAATCATCTATCATACGTCTCCTACTGGTGGGTCGGCATTGTGGCCTTAGACCCACTGCTACTGGAAGGTAACTCACCTCAAACTGCTGAAGTCCGCAGACACAACCCCACACTGCTGAAGTCCCGCAGACTCAACCCCAGCTGCTGGATGACAGATTCCCGAACTGTCAACACCAAAATAATACCCAAT